ATGAAGAGTTGTAGCTCATATTTCTTCTGGCGGGTGGTTCCTTCAAACTGTCTCTAATTTAATTAAGGGAAACGTAAGGTGCAATATAGCAACCAGTTATTCCAATGTGAGATGGTGACTGCTTGTTAATCAGAGGCCGCAACTATTTTCTACGGAGGACAATTCATTCGCCGACAAGCTGAGCAGTGGCAGTTGCTTTCCGACCACTGGTCTACTAGAGGCCTTCAATGCTATCGTAGCGACTAAAGGGGAACAAACATCGCATTTCACCATACCAAGCAGTCCCTTATCTTATCCTTGTCCGCTCCCTGCGACACGCACCATATGATGACTTTCAGGGAGCGAAGCAGACTGAGATAATTGAAAAGGCATTCTAAAGCAGCGGCTCTACCATAAAAAAGGAATAAAAGGAACTAAAAAATAAATAAATGAATCAGAAAGAGATAGTTGCTAATATACAAGCGGCCTTAGAACAACTAAATTCTATGACACCTTAAATGGTACGCACGCGACATGTGAAAGGCAAAAACAGGGAAGCTTACCTTGTCGGCAATTTCTAAACGGCAACCCTTATTCAGTAGGTGGCAAGCACATTCTGTATATCCTCCGGTGGCAGCAAAATGAAGTGCACTCTGTCCGATCTAAAGCGGACATCAGAAAGAAGCTAAACGATCAACGGCCATACGTTATTCTGCATGTCTACATCTGCGCTACATCGGCACAGCAAGTCGACCATCGCTGTGAATCCTCGCAAACAAGATACGTGCAACGGTGTATCACCGTACTATAAGACCATTAATTTGAAATAAGGTAATAATGTTATATAGCCACTGAAATGCGTTTTGGAGATACTTCTGATTTAATAAATCAACTGTTTAATACAGTAAATTCAGATACAGGGGCAGATACATCTTGTTACCACTTTAGGCGTGTAAATATCTCACGATAACGAGACAAAAGTGAATGCAAAAGTGCCGCAGTCGACTTTCCAGGAAAGAACGATAGGAAAGAAAGGTAAACAGCACAAAATGATTAACAGAATGATAACACGTTTCTCCTACTGTATTGACAAGAACTGCCTTGAACAGCATTCGAAGTACAATTGTCCAGACAGCTAGAACAAGCATAATAGAGGAAAGTAATTCAACTAGAAGTGGCAATTTAATAAACGCATTTCAAGCTGAACTGTGCGTGCAAGAGCTCACGTGATCCTGAACGTTGCAATCGATTCTGGGTGAAGTCAAAAGCTGCTTAACCAGTTCAACATGACCACAACGCATCGCGATATGCAAAGCACTTTCACCAGACTAATAACATAGACGGTTAGCAAGTTAACAGAACATGGTGTATAAATCAGGCACACTTACACGATTTATTTGATTTATGTCCACTTGTTCCATCATAAGATATTCTAACATCTGGAGATGACCATTTCTGACGGCTATATGCAATATTCGATCACCATGCTATAAATGACCATCATAAGAACAAAACTGAACGTATTTCCTTTTATTTCTAGAATTTGGCTGACATGATCGGATCTGGCAAACAGACCCATTCTGAAACTGCATATTAAGGCTCGCATGGGGTAAGTATCATTTTCAGTTAACAAATCCAATCAGCAAAACTGTGAAATGACAAGTCTTAAACTGGAGTGAATTTCTCAAAGAGAAATAAATTGCTTAGAAAACACATTGGATTTAATTTGTCCTTTGAACACAACAGCATCAATAGAATCTTGTGAATGTGCAGAAGAGGGCAACATACTATTAAAAGTATGAGATTCAGAAATCAATTCTGTCCAAAGTTTTATTTGGTAATGACCAAATAGTGTTTTGAAAAAATACTGCCATGAGCCAATAATATTCGAAGAGCCTTTGAAGCACGTTATGTCACATGTTGGAAGGAGGCAAACGCACTGTATCGTTCGAAAACCTCGTTTATTCGGCAAACCAGAAAGGTTCAGCAATTTCGGTTTCAAGCCCAAGAAATAATTTCAATCTGCGAAGAAGAGGATATGCATTTTAAGAAGTCGTATAACTTACGAAAGAAACAAAGAAACTTTTTTAACCAGATAAACAGTTTCCCACATCTCTAGTGGCCAACTTCGACTCAGTTTCGTGAACCAGACGTTGATATTCTAGCTCCTTGTTCCAATTTATTCAATTACAACCAAGCGATCAATAACATTGCACTTTATCAACAATCCTGAAGAGTTTCCACCAGCTTCTTGAACCGACACTGATTAGAACTTACATATACTGATATACTTATATCAAAACTTACTTATACTAACTTACTTATACTGATCAAACCTTCACATAATCAGGAACAAACGGTGCCGTAATTTCTACAGGCTTCAAAGTGACTAC